TTTTAATTAAAAAGTACATAAATTAGAAATTAATTGTCAATGAGATTAAAATTTGAGGTACAAATTGCATCATTTCATGTAAAACCATGGATCAGGCAACCGAAATCATAGCAATTCCTTGGTAATATAGAGAAAGGGAATTGTAGAGAGCCATGATTGCCTGCCTCTTGAAGTAGCATCTCATGAAATAAGTAACTAATCTTATAGTCAAAAATCCAAATTATTTTACTTTAAATGGATAACTGTTTTTCCTCTTCTCCCATTTAGTGTTCGTGCTTTAATTGAAATCTAATTTTTTCACAACCTAAAGTTAACAGGTTTGTAATTGCCAAAGACTGAGATCTAAAACAATTATATATTAACTGTCTACCAAATGGCCAACACAATTCAAATGAGTTTATCTATCAAACATCAGTATAAGTATTCATCTTCTCAGAACTTTCTCTGATGTTCAAAATTCCAATTTGATCCAGAGACAGATGGATAATGCTTTTGAAGAAGAAAGAAGAAAGAAAAAAAAAAGGAAAAAGATACAGCATGAAGTGGGGAGAAAAAAAAAAAAAAAAAAAAAAAGGAGATTCTACTATTCTCAGACTACAAAAGAATTATCATGGGTATAGATTTCAATTTTATTTTTACTATACTGTAAAAAGACTCAAATCTCAATAAACAAACATATACTATAAAATATTATGATACCATAAACAATGATAGGTTATTCTGAATGAAATCAGCCATATTTTGTCTGTTTTTTTTTTTTACAATGTTCTCTAAACAGTTCCAATTGATATTCTAATTTTGTTCAGAAAAAGGTTTTGGGTTTTTTTAATCATTTCACCTCAAGCAAGGCAATAAAGCCACTAAGATGCAAGGGGTTACAGAGTGTTAAAGAATATTAGAGAGCAAGAAAAAACAACATTATTAAGGAGAGAGAACATTGAAAGAACAAAAATTAATACAGAAGATAATGATTGACATTGCATTTAAATTTTTGAAGATCGAAGTTTACTGGGAAGCAAGAAGCCAGAAGAGAGTTCCACAAGCGAAAGTGTGATAGAAGAAACTGTTAACATAGAATTTAGGGTTTCATCTAGTAATTTCAACTGTAAGTCGCCAATCTAGGACTGTGCTTAAATTCATAAAATCTAGGTACCATAGAAGAAAGTTCATCAGAACAATTACCATAAAAATATTTATAGAAAATGCATAGGGAAGCTATATTACAGTGGTAGAAAAGTGACCAAAGTTGAGATGCCAGGTCAGAACCAATAACATTGCAGATTCTTTGGATTAAATCAAGAATCTCTAAATATATAGCAGGAGCACCAAACCAGATGTGGCAGCAATATTCAAAGCAATGACAAATGGTAGACTTATAAATATATGATAGATATTGTCTAGCATGACACAGGGAACCAACTTTGCTACCAAGCAATTTATTCAATACAATCTTTCCACTTCATGTCAGTGAAAAATGTTAGTCCAAGAAAGTGCAATGAATCACTCTCCTGGAGATTAGCATAAATCAAATGTCAAATGCTTTAGAGATCTCCAAGTCTGCACTATTCTTATCTAAAGAATGTCTATGGTAGAGGTGAGGTTCTACATGAAAATAGTCAAACAATACTATTTAGAAGACAAACGGGTTAATGAGAGAGGAGTAACGTTTTGGGTTTAATATGGCAAGTCGTAAAATTATAGACCCCTTCAAAGTTGATGATGGTATTAAGATATGTGCAGAAAATTATTTTCAGTTCTTGAATAGGACATGTTTTAAGTGGTGCAGTTCGCAACCAAGAATTTTAAGCTTACACTTATACATTCTACAAAGTTACCTGCTGCCCAGATTGCTAAAAAGATTTTAAAGATACTGTTGATTCCAATCAAGTAAGGAATGGCTGCTATAAATGTAGAATTGTAAAGCCACTCGGATACAAAGAGTGTTACAGAAAGAGAAAGAGAAAACTTTAGTGAGGAGAAGTGAGGAGATAGAACAATAAAGGAACAGAGATCAGGAAGACAGAATATGGCAATTGATGTTGCATTTAAATTTTTGATTGTAAGTGGCATGGAAGCAAGAAATCAGAAAGTAGTTCCGCAGGTGAGAAGTGTGAGAAATGAAACAGTTAGAATAGATGAGAGTTGCATCTAGCAACAGCAAAATAGTGAGACCTAGTTGCCAATCTAGTAGTACGCTTAAATTCATGCAGTCAGGACACCAGGGTACAAAGCTCGTCAGAGCAGTTGCCTTGAAAATATTTGTAGAAAAGACAGCAAGAAGCAATGTTACGTAAGTATTGCACCGGCCTCTAACACAAGGGAATTACACCGGTTCTCACTATATATAGTGCCAGTAATACCTACCTGGTGTAAGCAGCGACAGTACTACAACTGCCTAGCTGAGTAGTACCCGTTTCCTACCTTTGTATCTGTGATGTTAAATACACTTGTTCTTTAAACCAACTTCGACTTGATTTTCTTATTTTTACTATTGTGTCACGACACAACAGTAAGTGAGAAAGTGATTGAAGTCAAGATGCCAAACTCGTCTTTGAAATTGGTCAAGAATCTTTAGATATATAGTAGGAGCACTTCAACATGGTGTCATGGTTAGCAAGCTTATCTCTGATCAATTACAACTGAGTAGCGAGTTCAATCCTCAATGGGTGCTCCATATTTTTGGCCTTGTTCTACATCTAAATTATGCTCAGAAAATCCATATAGTAGGAGTACCAGACCATGAATGGCAGCAGTATTCAATACCCAAATGAATGGAGATATATAAATGTGTAAGATGGATTGTGACAAAAAGAATTGTCTGGTACAACACAATGAACCAACTTTCCTAGCAGTAGACCTAGCAATTGATTCAATAGAGTCACTCCACTTCATGTCAGTGGAAAGTGGAAAATAATGTTGACAATAGTTTAGAAATTGTCTGATGTTCTTTTCCTTAAGTTGATGCAGAACTCATTTTCCTATCTTTTAATATTTTTTCTAAGGCTTTTAAATGTTGTACTCTAAGTAAACAATTCATCCCCAACTTTTTCAAATTCATGCTTGTACTGTATCATCCTTTAAATGATTCTCTAATTCAGTCTACAAGTTCTGAAGTCTTATAGAGAATTTTGTCCTTGAGTTCATTCTCTTTTTTTAAACATCACAAAACTTTCCCAGACATTCTTGCACGTACTTCTTTATTGTGATATGCTTCAGTAATCCATTGCCTCTCACTTTTGCATTTCCCCCATATTAAACATGAAAGGAAAGTGTTTAATAGTCATTTTTTTTACCATAATAAAATAATTTTCTCCAAAGAATGTACATAAGCAATAAAGAGCTGAATAACATTCAAAAGAAATTTCAAAATTTCCATAATATGGCATGAAAGATAATGTTGGAAGTTTGTGATGTCCAAAAAATTTGGGCTTTAATTTGATTAATTATGTACAATGATTGAAGCAAAATTGTGAAAATCCATAATACTTTTCACAATAGAATTTAGATAAAGTTCTGGCAATTATTAATTTTTGCCTGTAACCTCTCATTTTATTTCAACTTTTTATCACAATTCTTCCAAATCCTTCTATCTTGATGAGTAAGCAGCACAAATCCTGGAATAAATCTGCTTTAGCTTAATTTCTTGCAACCCTAAAACACAATTTACTAGTCAAAAGAAATGTTTTCCATATCAATTGTCAAAAGATTTGTAATGCTTTTTTTTTTTGGCAAAAAAAAAAAAAAAAAAAAAAAAAAATCTACAGGTGGATTTAGCAGTAATTAATCAAGTTAAGAGGTTTGGCTGAAAACTTCATATGCTGATGATGACGGAATAATGCTAGAGCTGTGAAATTTTACATGCATTAATTCTAGCTCTTATTAATAACTGCATTATTTCATTCCAAGTAAAATGATATCTGACTGTTCAAAGAAGACTTAGGTAACTTCTCTTGAAACTGGACAAAAATTTGACATCGTTGTATTATCAAATACTTACAGAAAAACAATTTAGCCTCAATGAACATTCATGCTGACATTAGGAAATGATGCTCCAGCTTTATCAACAGTGCAAAAGTGGGCAGCTGAATTTATGAGAAGAAGGGAGAGTCTTGAAGATGACCCAAGGTTTGGATGCTCTGCAACCATCACAATGAAAGAAAGTATTGATTGTGTTCACCCTACATGATGATGCATGACAGGCAATTGACTATAAATCAAATAGCAAATGCTATTAGTATGTCCTGTAAGAGAGTGGAGCTTATTCTGCACAATGAACTTGGTATGACAAAGGTTTCTGCTCATTGGATGCTGTCTTCTGACACCTGATCAAAAGTGCATCAGGCTGATCACATCACAGGAAAAATCTGACATTGAGGAAGATGCAGCTGGTTTCCTTGAAGGTTTCCTAATCCAGAATGAGTGTTGGGTTCATTATTTTGAGCCGGAGACAATCTGTGCAATCTCCTCACCTTCTCCAAAGAAAGCCAATGGCATTTCATCTGCTGGGAAGGTGATGGCTTCAGTTTTTGGGGGATACAAAATGCATTGTGTTTACTGACCATCTTCAAAAGGGCCACACCATCAATGAAGAGTACTATGCCAACTTGCTGAGGCAGTTATGAAAGGCTATAAAGACCAGACACACAGAAAAACTGATGAAAGATGTTTTGTTTCATCAAATCAATGCTCCAGCACATAAATCCTTGGTTTCAATGACTGCTGTGCATGATTGTAGCTTTGAACTGGTTGATCATCCTCCCTTTTTTCCTAATTTGGTTCCATCTGACTATCATCTGTTCACCAACATGAAAAAACACTTAACCGAAAACCAGTATTGCAGTGATGATGACTTATTTGCTGTTGATGTTTTCACTAATGGGATGGAAGCTTCTTCATCAATGAGATCCAAACACAGTAATACCAATGAAAGAAATTTTCAGCCAATCCTCGTAGCAATACAATTTTCTTTTTTTTAACTTTATAATAAAAAGGGTACATACCTTCAGGAACTTTCCTTCGAAAGAAACTAGTGGAGCCTTCATAACGAAGAACCATCTTTTCCCGATCTACATTGTAAGTTCGTTTGTAATGAGAACCATTTTTAATTTTTATTAGCTCAAATCCTTTCTCTAATGCTTTTAGGTCATTCTCAACTGTAAAAAGAAAATGAAAATCAAATATATTACAATGCTGTATACATTTTAAAATAAGTAAGTGATACATTATTCTTCAAATTCAAGAAATTTAATATGTAAATATATTAGATATAATAATAGTAATAATAAATAAAATGTCAAAATCTATAAAAAAATTCTGAAATATACCATTATATTTAATATTGTTTTTTTTACAGAAATTATTTCTTGCCCATAAAATCAAAATTTCAAGAAGCAAACTTTTTGTAAAGAATAATATGAATTTGCATTTTTAGTTCCATATCACTAGGACACAAATGATCATCAGCCTTCCCAGATTCTGTTTCTTTATTATCTGTGAATTACTATGACTACTTGGGAAAGATAGTGAAGTAGTTTTCTGTTGCTTTTTTTCCACAGTTTGAAGTTCAAAGTAATCCAAGTAGACTGGCTGTCAACCAAGAGAAAAAAAAACAGTTTAACCTGTTATTTAACCGATAGATGGGGAGTAAAGTAGAACAGATACAATCATACCTTTCCAAAATATATTTCTGTGAAAGTGAATGCAATAGACTAAGCAGGAATTTAAACTCAGTTCACGGATTCAGCTTTCCACATCAATAACCGTGAAGATAATAGTGTCTATTATAATCATTTCAGACAGAAAATATTTACAACACTTAGTTAAAATGTAAAGACATGATTTAGTAATTTCATGGTTTATAATTTAGGAAAAAAGACTTTTTCACTGACATGTACTCATATAAACCAAGAATAAAACAATGGGAATTTCCCCAAAACTAAGTAGTATTGAAAGAAAGCAGTTGCTCATCACAAGAGTGTGCAGAAAACAAAAAGAAGACAAGGTATTCATTTCAAGAAGGGGAACATTACTGTTGTGTAGAAAGACAACAGACATTCTCTACACTAATTGTTGAACAGAGAATTGTCCATCAACTATGAGTAGAACATCTTCTCATGGGAATGGTCATCGCAAAGTGGGTCACAAGGTACAGCATTTGAGTTGTACACACTGTAATCATAATAAATGATTATGAAACTCAAGAAATTTAACAAAAGATCAATATTTAATTATCCAAGCTCATATAGTCAAAATTATTCATTTTATCTAATTTTCACTTAAAGCAGTATTAACAACCATTAACACAAGATGCAAACACAAAATTTACTGAAGGGTCCTTTATAGAAAATCTCTAAATTTGCACAAGAAACTGAGTTATAGACTTTATAATTTCCATCAAATGACCATGTTAAAATTGGGCAAGAGTCTCAAGAAACATTTAGAATCAATGTATATTTCTCAAAGAGTTATTAATTTTCAAACCCATTCTCCTAGGATGTTTTATTTGTGCAAATACATGAGCAATTTTAGGACTGAGTGAAATGATTTCAAAATGACTTGCACCTCACAAGCAATCTTATCACAAAGCACATTTTCACATCCTCTTCACATACTTTTCACCAACAATACAAGAAAATACAAATACAAGAAATAAAAGAATAATGGAGGATTGGTAGGGGGAATGGTGGAATTGTAGCTGAATAAAAATTCTTAAGTAAATTATTTTCCTTTTTTCATTTCTGCCCTAAAAAGATGAAGTAGGGGCTGTTTTACAAATTTTCACAAAAGTAACCATAGACACAGTGTACCACTTCAAACTGTTATTATTGAAATGAGATTGATACTCTCTGGGTGCCACATATTTGTACCCTTGTGTCAGACTAAGCTTAGTAAATAACTTACAATTATCTTTCTGAATTTGTCATTCACACAAGTCAGTTATGAACATGCATTCATTAATTTGAAAATTGTAAAAACTCAACTACTCCACATTATAACATTGGCTACTTGAAACTCTTGTTATTGGCTATCAAAAAAATGTTACTTTCTGAAACGTCTGTTGATGATGTTCCTTTTCTTGTGAAAAACAGTTTTCTCAATTGCTTTCCGTCAAAGTGAGTTGTCCTTTGTAAAATTAATGGTTGTTTATATATATATATATATATATATATATATATATATATATATATAAAGAAATATAGTTTTAAGATGTGATATTTTATGGGATAAAGTGCACAATATCAGAGATAGAGTGTATGTAAATATAAATATAAAAAGTGAGTTGTTTCCAATTTGGCAGCGCAGCCTAAATTGAAAACAGCCTGTCACCTGAGTTGACTTTATTCATATATATATATATATATATATATATATATATATATACACACACACACACAAATATTAAAAACCAATATTACCAATAAATTATTACCTATACATCTATTATCAATACACATATTAAAACTAAGCACATTTCATTTATGTTTCAAAAACAATTCTAAATTGTTTCACTAATTACTTGGATTGTTTTATGATTGAGATTTTCATTTTTATTAGAAGATAAAAATTTTCTAGCATTTGTATTTTATATACATTATAAATAAACACAATATCGAATATATTTGATATTTTATTTACTTAAAACTTTAGCTTTTATTTCTTCTGTTAACTAGGTTCTAAGATTAACTGAGACTGTTTTACAACTTTTCCTGGCAGTAATTTTAAATTCATTTTGCCACTGGAGTCAGTATTCTGGAGCTTAGGTCAGTCATAAAAGAAACAAGTTTCAAATAAATTTTTGCTGATGTAGATTTACAAGTGTCCCCTACTTTACATAATAATTCAGTAATGTCTATTTTTCTCCAGGTAAAGAGTGGTTTTCAATTTGCTATTCAGATATACATAGTTGACTACTAAATATGCTGTAAGCAATTACCACCCACTCTTATGAACTTATATGTCAAATTGCAAATTTTTGTGATTTACAAAACATTGGGGAGACAAGCACAAGGCCAATTTGGAGAAAAAATGCAGAGTAAGAAGATTGCATAGCTGTAGTTTTCGAAGTGGAAGCTGCCTTGGGCAGAGGGAATGAAATCATGGCTTTCACTTCACCTGAACTTGACCATTAGTGCAGGGTACAGAACAACTAAGCAGGCTTAGGTATTCTAAGTTATTTTCTTTAAGTAAAAGGACCAAGAGAAACTTTTGCCATTCAACATTGATAATTACAGAGTAATGCTTTAGAACACATTTTTACTTACCTTGAAAAATAGATAAATTCTTAAATGAAACTTGAATGCTTATATTTTCTATCACTAAGCAATGTTATAATTATAACAATACATGATTGTTTCTTCGTTTGACTACATAACTGTGCAATAAGGCAAGCAAATATTCATTCAAAATCTTTCATAGAAAGTGTAGTAGTAATAAGAGCAAAAGAGAGTAAATGTGAAAATGAACATTACATAGAAGTGCTTAATTTGCCAATTTGTTCCATATAATTCATTACAGCTAAAGAATAAATTCTTTACATCTATATAATAAATGCAAATGTCAGTGTGTCACTGTGTTAGATTTTTTCAACTTTACTCTTAAAGGCTGTAAGCCAACATATAATACTATTTTGGAATCAGGCTGACATTGTGGGCAAATTAAAAACATCCCAGGCCAGATCTGAACCCACAATCCTGAAATTTAGGACTCCCAAGTTTTCATTACTGTGATTGTTTTCAGTGATTTTTTTATATGATTTTTTTTGTACGATAACAATTTTTATAACTTGGAAATAAATTTGGGAATAATTGAAATTATAAAATCCAACAAAAGTAACCCATGAAATAAAAATAGTTGTTTGTACAGAAAGTAAGGACCCAAGTACATCAAACTGTCTTTAAATTAAGTGGCAGCAGAAGAATTATCAATGAACTTTTAAAAGGCAGGCTAAAATATTAATGCAATACTTAAATGTAGTGATCAATTTTGAGTTCTTCTATAGTTTATTGTTGCTGATTGTATCTACTCCTCCCTACATATTGTGATGAAAGCCCAATCAGGAGCTCTCCACAGGAGCTAGCTTAGAACTGCCCAATAGGGTGGCTTTTAAGCTAGTAAAAAATATCTGACAGAAAGCATATTGTAACCTTATTCAAAGTTGAATTATTTGTTTTAAATTTGTGCAGATGTATATACATATTCACGTGTGTATAATTGTGACTTTTTGATGATTTTACAATAAAAAAAAAAAAAAAAAAAAAAAAAAAAAGTCATAACTCAACTGATATAATAATTCAATCAAAATGTTTATACAGGCCACCAACACAAGTCCCAAAACCCACAAGCGTTACAGCGAGAGGGGGCACATGTACTGCAGCCATAGCAGTAGTAGGTGTGACTCAAGCAAAATAGCATGATAGAGATCATCCCACTTAATTCTGATTTTGAAATCAGAACTTTCCTTCTCCCGGATAGGTTGTCCTATCAAGGCAGGAGAGTCCAGTCTGGCCTGTATTTTTACAAGATATTGAATTCAGAATTTTTCTTTTCTTAGATTGATTGCCATCCAAAGTAGGAAAGCTCAGTCAGCTCTAATATGTAACTCATAGGAAGTAAATGGATTCATGCCTTTTCCAAATGCAAAGTGAACTACAACAGATTGGGTAAAAATTTGAATTTAGCATTCCCATACAATTCTGCTGATATTAGTTACATCCATTCATATAGAACATCTAACAAGTAAAATCATAAAAGCTAAAAATTATCAACCAACATACTGATTATGGCAGCTAAAATTGTCAAAAGACATTCTACTTTTCAGAGAATTGTTCTATGCCTTGAGAGCTGGACTGTTTGAGAAACGATGGAGAAAGAAATTACAGTTAAATTTAATTAAACTGTGGGATAATAAATTGTTGACCATATTTACATTACCTTACTTATAATTCTTTAAGCCATTTACCCCAAGCAAGGCACTAAGACACAAGAGGGCTACTGGGATTGAAAAAGAATGAAAAGACTTTAGAATGAACTAGAAACAAGTATAAACTTCTACTCCT